TGTGTTGAAAAGTCACAGCCATTCTTACTTTTAATACTAGCATTCAGAACACTTCTTAAAAGTCATGTAGCTTTTGACCACTGGACATGGAATTTTGGCGTTCAATATAGTATTGGGTGAACAACATATCGAATTTAGATAGGCGTAATGTAGATCTGCTACTGCCATATTTTAAAAAAGCAAGTTAACAAACATACGCCGTCCGATCGAGCACATAGCTACTCTGGGAATGCCCCTGGACGGAGCGCCGCATAAGGTTGGGTGCGAGCGCTCCCCTCACAGCTATGTCCCGACAGCCACGCGGCCTAGGGCGTCAGGATCTGAACCCAAAGGTCCGAGGTTCGAATCCACCCAGGTAAGGTAAGGTAAACATCTTTAATATGTGGGAAGTTGGGTGTAAACATCTGCCCCTAGGGAAATGAACTAAATATTTTCCAGATTTGCGTTAGGTTGGAAAAGAAAAGCATTTTTGGCGTTTCATAACACGTTCTTAATTTTCAAAACATGTTTCGAATTTTAAGAAACTTTTTGTTCTTAAATTTAAGAGCAAATTTGTTTTGTAAACTGCTTCAAAACATGTGTTATTAAAATTTAGATGGATTTTTTTACAGTGTCGCTCCGTCAGTCGCTTTGGTAAAATGCTTCGAAATTGTGAAAAAGACGGTCTATAAGGACTGGAAGTGACATTTCTTGGTATTTAAAAGTTGGGCATCATTTTAAGTCTTATTATTCATGTCAAAGACTTGAGAATGGGAAAAAATCATAATTCAAAAGTTCAGATTTGGAGGTTCGGTGTTATCGTATTTTCATATTGAGTTATAATTTCAGTTCCGCCGAGTTTCACTCTAACTCTTGCATCAAACGGTAGCTACGACACTAATAAACGTATCCCGCTTGAGAACAGGTGCCACAAGCTGCCACCTTGGCGATGCTGAGCATTTAAAAATGGCTGTTTTGGGTGGAAGTGCCCGGCTGGCATTGCCAAAAAAGTGCCACAACATGTAATAGTGACAATCCGAACTAGATTTTCACGATTCACATCGACCCTCTCCGCATTTGTTGGCTCTATCCCCCAACGTTAGTCCCGCCGACGCTGACGACGTCGACGGGCTCCGGAGGAGGGGTGCGGGCCGCGGAGGGCGTCGTTCGCGACGGTGCGGGGAGCATTCGCATAGCTCAACTGCTTGTGCTTGCACACGCTTACGCATGTCTCCACAAATACAAAAATAACACTAACCAGTATGCTCTACAACCTGAGGAGTCGAGGGGGTTTACTATGCATTATAGCCTGTACACGTGACCTGGGTATTACACGGTATTACGCAGAATATAATACCGAAAAATATCATAATATGCTTTAAAATGGTAATTTTTTCCATGTAATACCGGCGTAATACCGCGTAATACAGTGTAATTTCGGTGTACTCTGTACACGTTTTCTTGGGGTGAAACCCCCTTCGCGAGGAGGACACTAACTAAGTGTCACTCTCTCCTAATCTCAACCAATATTGAATGCTATAAAAGGAAAAATCTTTGTCATTTCACTTTATTAGATAAACCTTGTGTGGGCAGTGATCCTATTAAGCTATTTAAGAGAAATGAGAAAGAAGAACAGCACGAATAACAAGGAGGCCTATGATTCGTCGCTCAGTTGGAGGGGGAAACCGGGCGACGAATCACATGGGCCACCTCTTGTTATTCGTGCTGTTCTTCTTTTTTCAGTTTTCAGAAACGGCTTATTGAACGAGAGAGAAACAGTAACGATATACACGATAAAGGAACGATTTATAAAATAAAATATGTCTGAGATGTAAACTCGCTCCACCCCTCAAACCGGGCTGAACAGGACGACCGACGTGCTTTCTTGCGAAGACCACTGGACTTACTTAGAGAGTTCAGTCCGTTTTGTTCAGACGGAGGGCAAGTCCTTAAGCACAAGCAGTTGAGCTATGCCAGTGCTTCCCGCGCCGTCGCGAACGACGCCCTCCGTGGCCCGCACCCTCCCTCCGGAGCCCGGCAACGTCGTCAGCGTCGGCGGCCCTGTCCGCTGTGGCCGCCTCCTCCGCTGAGGCCTGGCCTGGCTCCACGGCCATGATATGGCAAGGACGTCTTCCAGGCGGCTCGTGGAGCTGGCGGACAGGCCGCGCTCGTGTTCAGCCCGGGGAGTTCAGCAGTGCCTGTTAAACTGCGGTCGAGGGTGAGTGGTGAGGTCCGCTCCCCGTCTTGCAGGCGGGCGGTGGGGACGGCACTCTCCCTAGTGCTGGGGCTGCTTGCTGACACCATCTTGTGGTCAAAGCTGCCGCGCCGAGCACCCCGACATCGGCTTTATCCACCAAGAACACCTGCGTGCGTGTTAGGCAACCAGGCTGCACGGTGTGCAGTTGGGTTGCCTACCTGCCGGGCGCCCTGAGCTGCGGGGTGGTTAGCCCGGGGAGGGCTCGTCTGAGCAGAACTCCGTTGCGGCATCGTTTTTCGGCCAAATTTGAAATATATCACGTTTTCTGGGGTGTATATTTTTTGTCCCACCTGTCTTTTGTCCCACCTATTTAAAAATATAGTATTTTACTATTTTTTAAATAATATA